AAAAATTAAAATTTATTTCCATTCTTTAACAAGTTTTTTTTTACTTTGGAAAGTAAAATGGTTATATAGTATACAACAAATGCTTTAATTAACCCTTTAGCTTTCTGACTGCAATAGATTATAACCATGCAATCAGTGCAGACAAAGAACAGCTAGCACATCTGTGTCATCTGATCATCATCTGCACTGTTTGCTGTTCTGATAATGGTCACACAAATTTTGAAATTGTCCCTTAAAACTGATGATTACATGAAAGATGGACAAGTTCATTTAAGATATTCAGTAAAGTAAGTTTGTACAGTTCACTTGCACACACTGCTTATGAAGTATATTTTTTGACAACATAAAAATCTAAAATAGTGTTTGCATTTAAACTGAATAAAGACACAAATTTGGGTTACATGTATGAGTATGGGTCAATATGCAATACAATATAAAGTTTATTTCCTAATTTAGATTGTAATTCTTGTGTAAACTATGCTAAGTTTCAAATCATCTGCTTTCAAATGATACCAAAATCATGTGTGAAGTCAACTGATTGAGTATTTTATTAACATTTAAAAATTCCTCACGCTGGTAACTTCATGTAAAATATGACTTGTAAATGCTCATATTGCAGGGGTATCAAACTGGTCAATTTAAATGATTCTAAAGAACCACTTGAAAGTTAGGCAAATAACTCCCATATAGATACCCCTTTTGCTAACATCTGACCAGAAGAAGGAGCAAGTTAAATGCGCTCAGAAGTTACTGAAAATGTAAGTGTAAGTGAACAAGAGACATGTCAACATGGCCATCCCCCACCGAATGTGTTTGCTCATTGGAAGAATGTATATGTAGTAGAGCGGAATAATTCCATTTTAAGAGGTCGTTTGGTAATGAAAACTGATGGCTATAGTGATTACAGATTTGAAACCTATGTGAATACTGATGGCTGAAAATAACAAAGGGCAATTACTGAAAAATAATGCAGGGTAGGTTATCATTCTTGTGTGCTGCATCCCTCCTCAGTAAAATCTATCCACCTATAAAGTTTCTAGAGCTGTCATTGATTCAGTGCAAAGCATATCAACGATATATCGATATCAAGTAACTAAAATCAATGATACACCAATATATCGATAATATCCTATACGCACTTGTGTGTCATTCATTTTCATACGTGTTTCAATGATTTCAGTCAAAAACATGTTCTGTACAGTGTCTTGTCCACTGCATGATTTTTTCTAGACAATATTTTTTTGTCACCATTCATCCATTGCTATGAAATAATTCCACTATATAACAAAAGCATCACATTTGATATAAATAATTGTTTTTGCATATATTTTGGGTGAACTGTATAATTTCTAGACATTTAATTTATAAGTCAAAAGTATCGATTTTTTAAAATGTGTATCGATTATTGATCGACAAAAAAATATCAACGATACATCGATATTGTCGATATCGATGATGGCTCTAGAAGTTTCAAGTTGATACCTCAAATACTTTTTGAGAAAAAAATTGAATTGAAAAATTAAGTATGAAAAAGAACAAAGGGCAATAACACAACAATTATAAAAGGTAGAGTTATCATTTTTGTGCAGTGCACACCTCCTGAGTGAGATCTATGCACCTATGAAGTTTCATTTTAATATCTCAAAGGCTTTTTGAGTTATGCTCTGGACAAAAATTAATTTTGAAAAATAACAAAGGGCAATAACTCAAAAATAATGCAGGGTAGAGTTATCATTCTTAAGCACTGCACTCCTCCTCAATGAGATCCATCCACCTTTGAAGTTTCAAGTTGATACCTCAAATACTTTTTCAGATAAGCTCTGGACAACATAGCATGAAAAAAAACAAAGGACAATAACTCAAAAATTGTATAGGGAAGAGTTATCATTCTTGCGCACAACATTCCTCCTCAAAAAGATCTATCCACCTATGACATTTCATGTTGATATCTCAAACACTTTTTGAGTTATGCTCCACTTGGGTGAAAAATTAGGTATGAAAAATAACAAAGGACAATTACTCAAAAATTATGAAAGGTAGAGTTATCATTCTTGTGCACTGCACACCTCATGAGTGAGAATTATGCACCTATGAAGTTTCATGTTAATATCTCATAGGCTTTTGGAGTTATGCTCTGGACAAAAATCAATTTTGAAAAATAACAAAGGGCAATAACTCAAAAATCATGCAAGGTAGAGTTATCATTCTTGTGCACTGCACTCCTCCTCAATGAGGTCTATCCACCTATGAAGTTTCAAGTTTATTACTCAAACACTTTTAGAGATATGCTCCGGACAAAAATGTCGGACGGACAGACGGAAGGACGGACGGAAGGTCGGACGGACGGAGATTATTACTATATCCTCCGCCGAAATTTTACATACATTATTTTTTTCAATAAACCTGGAACTTTGGTCCTAATTCCTGTTTCTAGAGGCTGTCCTGACACATCAAAGTATCATGGAGAAGTCGTGTTAAGAAATCGAAAAACTCTTCAATAAAGTTTGTCTTCAGATTGGTATGAAAGGTCTGTCCTTTCTGATTGAAAATACTCCTGTACACAAAAGCCACTTTAAATTGATTGACCATATTGCATTACATATTGTTCCCTCCTCTTTAACATTAAATTTCCTTCTCAGCAAACATAACTTCCATGTGGAAACAACAATCATTCCTTATCAAACAAATGACTAACATGAATGAGAAGTTGTCACTTTAACACAGGGCTAAAATCATCATCACATACACACTGCTCCTAGGTTATGAACTATTTTAGATACAGAGACAGATATTCAACAGATATCTCCTTAAAAAATATAGAAATATCACCTCTTTTTCTCCAGCTACACAGTATTGTGCATGTGTTCCAGGTCTTTCTGGTGCTAAAGCTCCCCATACCTGAAAGTTAGATTATTTATCAAGAACTGTCACATATAAATATAATTATACACACACATGTACAGTTAACTGTAATTCCCATGTGGTGATAATGTGGTTAGTTTTTACTTTCTGTCTATCCTCACACTGCCAGGTCAATGGAATTGTTTTGTTTTGGCCGTTCTAAATTTAAAGTCTATGCTATACCTTGCTAGGTGCAAGGATCCAGGTTAAAAGTGTCTAGTGCAAATATACATTTTCTTGCACTGTTGACACTTTTGAAAAGGTTATCTTAAATTCTAACATTCTTCACTTCTCAATTAAGTGCATTATTACATGATACATGCACAGCGTATAAAGCAAATGCTTGCACGTCATCAGATAAGACTTCAATAAACCAAATGAATTTTTTTTTCAACACACCAACACGGTACAGGTCATATGGCTACTTTCCAATTTTACTGGTGGAGGAGGACCTCAGGATCTTTTCCATGAATTATTTTAGACACACATTTGCACCTTAGTAGAACCACTCTAGCTGTATAGTTTCCTCACATCAAAGAATCCAAAGTCCCTGTCGGGATTTGAACCCACAGCATTGAGGGACCAAGAAAATAATTCTGAGTGCATTGTTGTAGAATAATGTATGGTTTATCTTTCAAATGCTTTGTAATTAATTACTCAGGCCTATCGGTCATTGTGATCATACTCCTGCACATTTGAACTCAAACTGTGCATTATTCTTCAACTATTGATATCTGTTTCCTTATCAAATGTTAAGATGGCATTGTCCATATTTATGAACATGTACATGAACTTTGCTCTCAGTTTCAGGTCAAGTTCATATGTGCAGACTGGTCCAGCTCTCTATGCACAGACATGGCTCCACGGCTCAATAACATAGACAAGATAATATTGCTGTTTGCTTTAACACAGTAACTTTGAGATCTTGCCAATCTAATCATATCATTTTTACATACTTTTTTTAAAGTCTTCATCATATCTCACCTCATCTCCAGGTTTATACCTTGACACACCATGCCCTGTTTGTTTTACTACACCAGAAAAGTCCCGTCCCAGAGTGAGAGGGAATTCCGATCCCCCTGAAGAAGTTCCAAACCATTTTCTCATTTGATTAACAACAGTACTACCATAGCCCTCTGTTAAATAAAGAAAGACATCAATACATATATAAACTATAAGGGTTAATATTACAATATACAATCTTGATCTAGAACTCCTATTCAACTAAAGTGGAATATAACTAAGTGAGGATCTTACAAGATGTTGATCTTTGAGTCTCTCAGGTAGTGTTGATTATTTGTAAATGTGCCATGATGCAACACTTTGGGTAAAGTAACTCTTAAAATTCAAAATCAAAAATAAAATTAAAATTTGAAAACAATAGGATATGATGTGATCAAAATCATGGAGAAATTGACAAAAGAAAATAGACTATAGAGCAGTAATAATTTACCTCTCATTCTTACATCAATAGGATTAACACTAGCAGCATGTATTTCTATAAGTATATCTTTAGGATTTTTTATCTCGGGAATCTTTGCCGTTTCTGACAATACTAGCTCTTCATTTCCTACAACAAAAACAAAAAACAAACAATAATTAAAAGAAATTACCTAAAAACCAAAAGTATAAGTAGATTCAAGATGTAATTCATCAAAGATCATAACTTATCTCAATTTAGGTCAAATAAGTTTTTAAGAAACACACACTACTCTAACAAAAAACACAACACATCTATCATTTGTAAATGCACAAGAACTTGAAATTAAGTCACTTATAAATCACTTTGAAGTCTGATCTGCTATAACATAGCTCAGCCCTATTTATTTCATACCCAAAATCACTATACTTTTTTATTTTAAAAAATGATTGAGCATTTTATAGAAATCAGACTATACAGCAATTACATTTATTTGATACATTTTAAGTTAAATGTATTAATTTAAATGAGTACCTCCGTACTGATGAATCTGCCATGCCTTCATTCTAGGTTTCATTTTCCTCCTCACACCTGTGGAAGTGCTACAATGTCTCACCAGACAGAGGTTTGAAGTCATCTTGATCTGTCTGGACACTGACCTCAACATACAACATTGTAGGCAGCCAGTCGATATCTTCAGAACACCAAGTTTCATTTTGTTTAAATACAAAAACTGAAAATATATATATGAAACTATATTAACCATCTGAGTCTGGCTAGAGGTAACATAGCCTAAACGTAGACAGCATTAATTAATCTAAAAGCTGCAAGCCACCAGATGTGCAAAAATATTTCAATAAAATCAAACCTGAAAAAAATGTAGGAAACGTAGATTTTAGGAAAACTATTAAGATTCAAAGTTCTAGTAATAATGTAACTAATGCAGTAAGGGCTATTTGGTAAGTGGGAGAAAAAACTGACTACCCTGTTGATATACTTAAGTATATAGCAAGGGGTATTATTGGCTTACTTATAATGTTTCCTATATGTCTCCATTGAATTTCATTGATGAATTTTATATTGCATATTTTGTGTGAAGCTGAAAAAGTATTTCAGTTTTTGTTGAATGAGGTCAAAGATTTTTCTGCACGATCACACATGATGTTCAAATACCTTCAAATGTGTGTAAAACAATTTAATATGCACTTATCAGCTTATAGGTCAATAGCTGATTGAATTAATGGGCATTTTAGTCAAGTACATTTATAAAGTTCAACAATAAATAGAACTTCTATGCTTAATTAGTAATTATAGTTATTTATTAACATCATTAGTCTTTGTCAATGTGCATCTCCAAAGATATTGTGGGTTAGTTATTTGATGAGGCTTTTTAATTTTATGTGTTGTCATTTAAAATGCCTTTTTTGAATGCATATAGTTACTAGTCCTTTTTAATTGTGTTATCAAATCAGAATTAGCTTGTGTTATCTTATTATTTTGTTTATGTCAATTACATCTTATGTACTGAAATTTATTTTATGTAATTGTATGCCCATAATTGGAAATAAACACTATTCTATTCATGACAAAATACTGAGAGTACACCTATGATAGAGTTGTACCCGAATTATAAATACCAAGTTAGTGCTTCCCTGTTTATTTCACTTTTAAGGTTTTCTAAGCACTTTTAAGGTTTTCTAAGTGACTTGACATGCTGATTGCCTATGTCCTCCCCACAGACATAATGTGGAAGACATGTATAATGTGTAAAATTACTAAAAATGCATTTTATTTGGAATTCAAGGGTTGGAGCTCCACATCCCAAGTTTGTGGTCCTAATCCTAGCCCAACAAATTATGCGCTTTAGGGCTTTTTTTTATATATATGATGGTCGCCCTTCGCGACAGACATACATCTATGAAATATCAGATTATAAAATCGGTCTGTCTTGCCGTTGAAAAATTGAGACTAGTCCTAATCCTAGCTAGTCCTATAAATATGACGTCGCTTTGAGATATTTTTGCTTCTGGGCAAAGCAACAGGCTGGACAGACATAAACGTCTGATATATTGGAATCCTACTCCTAGCCAGGGATTTGACAGAAAGGAAGTTGGAAAGAACTATGGTGCGACTTGTTGTATACTCGATATGACTGCACTTAACTGATTTAGGCTAAATCAATCAAATATCGGTATCATTTTTATATCGCATTTTATGCTACAACTGTTATAACTGTTTGGGGTCGAATAATTTTGAGGACTAAACTGCAAAAAAGATTTATAACTAAGCAGTTGTTTGCATATATTTGCCTGTCCTTCTTAGTCACGACAATAAAGAAGTGCTTAATTCAATTTATTTTTGTTATAAATTCATTAAAATACCATACCTGTGCGATATTAACTTGCATAACATTAAATTTTATCGCCAACAACCTTCAACTTGAATGACCTATGACCTTTTTAATGACACAAAACCGGCGGTGCAGACATACATTTTAACTCAATCAATTTGACCTATCAACAATACGTGTTCTGAATGGCGAGAGAAATAACATATATGATGAATTTGATCTAAATGGAAATAAAAATCAATATTTTAAACTTTGATATTAAATTACTTTGACACATACTATAGATCTAATGGTATCATCTGAGACGTTGATTTTAATGAATTTTACAAGTACAAACCGTTTCATGTACATGTAGGTTTTTGAACAGTGTCACGATTTTATACAGTATTATAGATAAATACAGTATATTGAATATAGTATTCAGATGGGACAACCTGTGACGGTCCGGCATATATGTCAGACATTTATGATATTCATGGCATGGATAACAAAGGTATGTACAGTACAGTATACTTCAGGTGTTTGCAATTAATTGTTTGTCGCATTACATAACATTGGAAATCCGTGATTGTAATTACAAAATAATTAAATAAACAGATATAGTCCAACTTATCACAGCTAAATGGGCATTCGACTAAATTGTCCCAATTATCATAGAATAACTTCATTTGATAGTTATTAAGTTCTTACTGGGACAGAACTTGAAGGATCTTCCGTACAGTAAATGGCAATATATATATCACAGGAACTTGAAATTCTATCAAATAACCAATATTAATTATAATATCCAAATATACCCCCTATATACTATAAAAAAATTTATAGTATATAGGGGGTATATTTTGCATATTATCGTTAATAGTGATAGAATTTCAAGTTCCTGTGATATATATGCTATATATACCGACAAGACTAATTTTATGAGCTGATCGAATGCCGGAAAGCTCAAAATTAGATATTTTATCTGATGTTCTATCACAGAATACAAGTTGTGAATTATTCATTGATAAAAATATTATACATAATATAGGTTTATTGCAATGTTTATATAAAGCAGTGCATGTACGTATTTGTGATCACCACAATGTTTGATAGGTGTAACCACGGATTTATATCATATAAATCCGTGGTGTAACTGAGGAACATCTTAAGCTTGTATGTATATAATTTATATCATGTTTTATCTTAACTGAAATTTGTATTTCAAATCTTTCTCATTTCTCCATTTCAGACAGTATATGTGTATAGATAGATCTACTTCCTAAATTGTAATGTTGTCCGCTTCAACAGCTTGCATGCATGCGAGCATTTAATGATCAAATTATATCTGACACTAATCCAAAAATCTGGAAAATTTGAAGCATTAAAATTATATGAAAATTGCATGCTTGGTTTGATTGAGTCTGTATATGAGGGGTAATGAAAAATGCAACACACCTCACACCCCCTAACACCGACTTGAGCGGTACTTAATTTTAACTCAACCCATTATAAATAGGGACCCATATAATAGTCCAACTTCATGTAATCGTACAACGGTAATGAGAAATTGTGCCATTATGTGTACAGGAAATATCTCCCCTCTATTAAGCGATATTCTGACCCAGAAAAAATCAGAATCTAGCTTTGGCACGTCAATATATTTTGACTAGGCCCTATACCCGTTCCCATTTCTAATGCGGAAGTTAAAATAAATCACGGAGCTAGCTTATAATATTCATAATTTCGAAATAAAAATTGTGTATTCGCGCAGAGAGTAATTTAAGTCCGTTGTATCATAGAGTTTAGATAAATTTGATATTTACTATCCCAGTTTTAAAACTAAACAATGTTAACATGAACGACTGAACCTATATTTTAATAAACCCCGGTATCTTTATAATTGTTATAAGTATTTTAATGTACCTACACGTATCTGTTGCAGGGTTTGTACCTGGAAGTATCAGGACCTTCAATGATAGATCTCAAGTTAATTTACAATACCAACTACGAGGCAATTACTAGGTCTGTTGCTGGACGAGGGGTCGGTGGCTTTCTTGGAGCCTTAGTTGGGGCTTTACTTGTTGACAAGTTCGAGCGACATTTAGATGTATGTATAGCTATTGGAACTACAATCGCAGGCATGTGTATTTCCATGGTGCCGCATGTACCAACAATAGATTATGTGTGGTTGCTGTACTTTATGATTGGATGCACTAGTAACGCCGTTAATATGGGTAAGTTAAACACAGTACTTTATGATTGGAGGTACTAATAACGCCGTTAATATGGGTAAGTTAAACACCGTACTTTATGATTTGATATACTAGTAATGCCGTTAATATGGGTAAGTTAAACACCGTACTTTATGATTGGATGTACTAGTAAAGCCGTTAATATGGGTAAGTTAAACACCGTACTTTATGATTGGATGTACTTGTAATGCCGTTAATTTTGGTAAGTTAAACACCGTACTTTATGATTGGATACACTAGTAATGCCGTTAATATGGGTAAGTTAAACACCGTTCTTTATTATTGGATGTACTTGTAATGCCGTGATTGGATGTACTTGTAATGCCGTTAATTTGGGTAAGTTTAACACCTTACTTTATGATTGGATGTACTTGTAATGGCGTTAATATGGGTAAGATAACATTGTACATTATGATTGGATGTACTTGTAATGCCGTTAATTTGTGTAAGTTGAACACCGTGCTTTAATGATTGAATGTTCTACTAATGCCGTTAATATGGGTAAGCTAAACACTGTTCTTTATTATTTGATGTACTAGTATTGCCGTTAATATAGGTAAGTGAAACACTGTTCTTCAGTATTTGATGTACTTGTAATGTCGTTATTATGGGTAAGTTAAACACCACATACTTTATGATTGGATGTACTAGTCACGTCCTTAATATGGGTAAGTTAAGCACCGTTCGTTATTATGGAATGTTATAGTAACGCTGTTAATATGGGTAAGTTAAACACCGTACTTTATGATCGGATGCACTAGTAACGCTTTTAATATGGGTAAGTTAAACACTGTTCTTTATTATTGGATGTACTAGTAATGCCGTTCATATTGGTAAGTTAAACACCTTACTTTATGATTGGATGTACTTGTTATGCCGTTAATTTGTGTAAGTTAAACACCGTGCTTTAATGATTGAATGTTCTACTAATGCCGTTAATATGGGTAAGCTAAACACTGTTCTTTATTATTTGATGTTCTAGTAATGCCGTTAATATGGGTAAGTTAAACACTGTTCTTCAGTATTTGATGTTCTAGTAATGCCGTTAATATGGGTAAGTTAAACACCATATACTTTATGATTTGATATACTAGTAATGCCGTTAATATGGGTAAGTTAAACACCACATACTTTATGATTGGATGTACTAGTAATGCCGTTAATATAGGTATGTTAAACACCGTACTTTATGATTGAATGTACTAGTATTACCGTTAATATGGGTAAGTGTAACACTGTACTTTATGATTGGATGTACTAGTCAAGTCGTTTATATAGATAAGTTAAGCACCGTACTTTATGATTGAATTTTATAGTAACGCTGTTAATATGGATAAGTTAAACGTTGTACTTTATGGTTGAATGTAGTAGTAACGCCGTTTATAATATGGATAAGACGCTGTACTTTATGATTGGATGCACTAGTAATGCCGTTAATATGGGTAAGTTAAACACCGTACTTTATGATCGGATGTACTTGCAACATTGTTAACAAACTGTGTACTTGATCAGTTACGCTGTAAGTGTAACATATGGATAATCTAAACACTGTACATGCGAGTAACGCTGACATGTATATTGTTATCATTGTATACACACCGGTCTCAAATATCGACAAGACCGGTGTACACAATGATATTGTTATAACATTCATCTATTGTAAATGGTTGAAGTATGCGATGTATATGCTGCTTCCAACAGCGTTTATAGTGTTAGTTTATAGGATAGCGATCTTTAAATCTTGTTTTACTACGTGTCTTAAACTTTATCTAAATACACAGCCTAAAACATGAATTGTATAATACATATTCGTGTATTGATACATACATTTCATTTTAAAATTAATATTCTTTTAATTGAGATCTAAATGTACGGCAATAAAAAGGGTGTACTTTGTCACTGGCAGTATATAGTCAGTCTTACCAGGCTCTATACTGTTGCTTATTCATTTTTTTTCTGTTACTGAAATCCCCTAAACATTATCATTATATAGACAGCCGGGTAATTCCATTTATAGTTTCAGTTATATGTTGACGGTTTTCAAGTCAGCTGATTCATGTCTTGTATTCAATAAAGTTTTTTTTACTGTATACTCAATGATTGTTACCATTATATCTTTGCTTTAATATTGCAAACTGTTTCTAGAAATACAAACCTACGATTTTATAGCTTATTTATTTGAATAATAGGCCGTCACTAGCTGAACATAAAAACTTCATTATTATCTCAAACCAAAACATACAAGAACGGTTTTGTACGGGATCCAGATTTTCAAAGTACTAGTAATACGTTGCGAACATTAGGTATTACTTTGCATCATTAATTGATGTAATATTCATATTTATATATCTTTTTAGGTGGAACTAGAATTGCTCTGGAAATTTGGAAGGACAGCAGCTCGATAGTGCTACAGTTGTTACACATGGGTTTTGGAATTGGCGCCCTTTTAGGGCCGCTTATTTGTTCCCCATTCCTTGCAGTCATTGAAAAAGAACAGACCAATAGTGACAACCCAGTGCCTCAATATCACGTGATCAAAGAGTCACGTGCTCATCTAGCGTTTCTTGGTATTGGGGTCTTCACGTGTTGTGTGGCAGTTCCATTCTTTTTGTTTCAATTGACAGATAAACGATCATCAGTTGTCAAAGGACCTACGCAATCAACATCATCAAAACCTAAATCTTTTAAAGAGATGATCAACCCTGCCTCTTATGCCAATGGGAATTTCTACTATGGGCTAGGAGCCTTAGTTTTACTATTTGTATATTTCTTTAATGTTGTAGGCGGGGAGAAGATATTTGGGACATTTGTTAGAACCATTTCTGTCGATGTTTTCCATCTTGGAAAGTCGGAATCGTCTTATCTGAACACTTTGTTTTGGGTGAGCCTTACTGTAGGACGATTATTAGGTGCATTTATTGCACGTGTTGTGCATGTTCGGACACTAATTCTCGTCCAAACAGGTCTACATCTGTTGTCAGTTATAACATTAAATAAATACGCACTAGCTGATCCGAAAATATTTTGGTTTTTAACAGTAGTTGAAGGTCTAATTATCGCACCATTATATCCACTAGGTGTCGCCTATGGTCACAATATATTGAATCTATCTGGTGTATGTTTAATGGTTATAGTTTTCGCTGGGAGTTTCGGTGATCTGACATATTTATGGACGGCAGGAAAGATGTACGATATATATGGAGGTGCCTCGGTACTACACGCAGCTAGTGTAGCTGCCTGGATTGTGGTCATAAGTCTCGTGCTGTTCAGAATTTTATCAAAATTTTCGTCTGCTTCTCAGGTTAAGACTGTGAGTATCTAAAACTGTGTTCCATGAAATCAAATAATGAGATTCCGCCATGTGTTATTGATCATGAATTACTTTATGTTATTAACTCAACATGCAACTTATAAATCGTTCAATATCAAGTAAGCATATATAGGATATATGATTTAGTTTTATTGTACTGCTGAAATTGTACAAACACATTAAAGAGTATATGAGGCTGTATCTTATGAAATATTTTTACTGTATATTTTTTTTCACCGGTAAAATTGCATAGTTTTCACGATCTTTTGATCGATTCTCGAAAGAGTTGCACCATTAATTGTACGTCAACAGAGTAAAGTGTTCCAGAACAGCTATAATTATGCTGGTACTTTAGGTAGGGTTTGGCAATATTTTTGTTCGTATGCCATTCGCTTTAAAAGCAGATCGCTACTATATTTCTTTCATACCAGCATTTTTGAACTATTCTTTTTTAAGTTCAGAAATATTTTTGCAGCATATATATAGTTGTATACACCTTAAAATTATCATATTAACGGCGCATTTTTGTAAGTGTGAATATGTAAAATAATCCTCAATTTTGGGCGATAAAAACACTTGGTATTTTGAAAGCTGTTTAAATTCCCCTATTTGACCAATCTGACTTAAGCACAGATTTTTACGTTTTTTGTTGGTTTTTTTTTTTTTTTTTTTTTTTTTTTTTTTTTTTTTTGATTTGATGAACTAATTTGTTTGAATTCCTGGAGCAGACACAGCTCTGGTCTATTATATGTTTAGCCTTCGTGATCTGTTAAATGTTATAATTCTTCACTTTATGCATGGTATATGTTTACATGAGGATACGATATATTTTATTGTGAAACACAGTTTATTTTATGATATAAAATGCTTACAATATATTTGAATAAATAAAAACGTGAGCCAAGAGGTTTGTTATCTTTTTACTTTGAATTCCAGATAGTAACAATATTCCGCGGAACTTAACTGTTGATGTTTTGTTTTTAAAGGCACATTGTTCCCCGGAAATGAATATTTTTTTCCATCTTTAGAAAGGTCAAACGTGAGCTTATAACGTTGGGATAATGGTTTAGAGCTTGTTTGATGCTTGTCCCCTGTATAGAAAGTAGAACTGAATGTGAAATTATTCCGCAGTTAAGAAGCAAAATGAGCCGCGTCAACAAAACCAACATAATGGGTTTGCGACCAGCATGGATCTAGACCAGCCTGCCATCCGCGCAGTCTGGTCAGGATCCATACTGTTCGCTATCGGTTTCTCTACTTGTAATAGGGATTGTAAGCGAACAGCATGGATCCTGATCAGACTGCGCGGATGCGCAGGCTGGTCTGGATCCATGCTGGTCGCAAACCCTTTATGTTGGTTTTGTCGTGACGCGGCTCAAATGAAAACAATGTAGTATCTTTATAATACTAAATCACAATAACTACAAATTACCAAAGAGCAACAAAAGTGGTAATTGGCTAATGAGTAACTTTTTTAGACTTTTAGAGACAACAAAAATAAAAAGGTTGTTTTTTGTAAATTTGTGGTATTCAGTTTAAAAAGAAAGAAACCTAAATAATTGATATAGTAATAATGTTATAATTATGAAATGTTTGTCGAATGTCGGACCTATAAGAAGCTAATCTTGTGTGAGAAATTTAAAAAGTGAGACCATCAGATAAGTATTGAAAATTATTATAGATTCAGGTACGTGTACAGTTTTGTTCTAAATATTTGGGAATTTATACATGCTCGGTGAGTTCTCATCCGTAGTATTCGGCATCCCAAGTGTGTAATGTTTTGTATGAAAATACTCCCGGGTTGTTCATTTGAGCCGCGTCGGAACAAAACCAACAAAGACGGTTTGCGACCAGCATGGATCCAGACCAGCCCGCGCAGTCTGATTAGGATCCATGCTGTTCGCTATCAGTTTCTCTACTTATAATATGGTTTGTAAGCGAACAGCGTGGATCCTGATCAGACTGCGCGGAAGCGCAGGCTGGTCTGGATCCATGCTGGTCGCAAACACATTATGTTGGTTTGTCATGACGCGGCTCATTTATTGAATGACTCTGATATTCATCATAGTTTCTTACACCAACTCGGGAAACAGTTATAGATAGTTATAATCGCATAATACTGGATGTAAAGTCAAATTGAAATCCGCTTCTGTTATTCATGTAGGTCTCATTGGACAGAGATGTATTTTGCTACTATAGGGTTTGTTTATAGTTATGTTGTTGCAATTAGGTTTATTGAATATTAGTTGCTTTAACCCATTGTGTGTTCTTTAGACATAAACATATGTTGTAGGTAGGTCCCACTACAGTAACATATCTGAATATAACATAAGTGAATTTATACAATCCAACTAGTTGATCAAATATCTTATATTTTTACGGTTTATAATTTATAACAAAGGAGGTGAAATGTTTTTATTTCATACATCTCTTTTTAAAGTGAGAAAGTTTTGCTCTCTTTATAATATTGAAAAATCAAACTTTGTGGTAGATAAAAAATTACACATTCACAAAAATATCCTCTATACATTACGGTCTACAATAGCTACAATTATCCAGCCAATCGATGAAATATGTGCATATCACAATCATTTCAACATCTGTTGCCACTATAGTAATTAGTGAAATAAATCGTGCATTAATCAAAATTGCCCCGTTCACTTTTGATAAGACATTGTATATACATTCTCTCATCGATATTCATGTGTTCATTGCAGTGTTAACATTGTTATTACAGTGTCCGTATATTTATTACAATGAATATAATTACACTTTCCTTACATTTATTACAGTGTTCGTATATTTTAGTGTGCGTGTAATTTTAGTTGTCCGTATATTAATTAAAGTGTAAGTTTTTTTCTTCAGACCTTACTTGTGGAGGAAGACCTATATTTAAGGTGCCCCTTTGTGCATTATTTCTGACTCGAGCAGACGGCTGAGTAGAATCACCGCCCTTCAGTTAGCTAGCTGGATAGTTTCCTCACATGAAAGAATTTAACGTCCCTGACATGATCCAAACAGACGGCGGTGAGGGACCGGCAACCTTCACCACTCGTATAAGTATTACAGTTAATGTATTTATTACTGTGTCCCTTTATTTATTACAACGTATGTAAATTTATTACAGTATACTACACTATAATCATGTTTATGACAGTGTAATTTATATGTATAACTGTGTCGGTATATGCAAGTATATTAAATTTATTACAATGTACTTATGTTTATGATAGTGTAATTATATTCAATACAGTGTCTGGAGATTCATTACAGAGTATGAATACTAGTAACAGTGTACACTGTATTTACTACATTGCCCATATTTTACCATAGTGTTCGTATACATGCATTCATAAGTGTCGGCATATTTATTTCAGTGTAAGTATATAGTATATAATAATAGTGTCTACATGTATATTAATTAATATTATATTCATTACGTACAGTGAAAGTGTAATATTTTAATAACACTAAGTGTAAAGTAATGATAAAATTGTCACTTGCTTATTTATACAATGCAATATTATAAGATTATCAATTGTATAACAGAATGCAGCCGTAATGTAATAATCGAAATGAATATTGAATGCAATTACATATAAACATATACGGAGAGTTTTACGATCCATATTAAAGTTCCTGTACAATGATACCTTTCTCCAATGGTGCGCATTTGTGTAATGGCCATTGATAAATTAATTAATAGCTATGCTTCATTGACTTTAAAAAAGAAAACGCCATCTTTCACATACATATCATAGCCTTATAATATTGAACACGTGTTGTATTTACGGATCAATGAAACATAAAACATAAAGTATAGATGTGTCCTTTAACATAAAACTGGTCCTAGATTTTCTTTTATGTGGTGTATTAAAATATATTAGAAATTAGAATTCAGCGGAGAAATTCACTATCAAGGAAAAACAATGGTGTTTCAGGATATAAATAAAATAAACAAGGTGATTATGTTGACGTTGGTCTGGGGATCGATGGTGAGTTACATAGTTACGGTTACTTTATTGCCTTTTTTAAAAACTAGTATTACATATAACATTTATGTCATAAAACTAACAAGACCAAAACAGCAATCTCCTACGCAGTGATCTCCCCTTAACAGTACAGTCTGCCCTGTGTGGTAATCACTGTGGAGTTTGACAAAACAGAGACAATGGATTCAACAAACGAAACGCATATCACTAACTCTTGCGACGTATTGCTGAGACTAGAGTACACGTTGTTATGTCTAAAGGGGTATTTTAAACAAATTTTAACACGTTGTTAAAAGTTATGTAAAACCACCATTTGAAGTGATCAATTTACAACCGCATTGTTCAGTTGTTGATATACATTATTAAACAGGTTATTATACATTGTAGAGTACAATACTGAATTCTATTGGAAGAATACATACTGTCATACTTATTTTGGACGAGGCGTTAGCAGAATCCAATATAGGTTTTGCAGCTGTGAACGAGTCGAATAGAATCAGCATTGTTCTCAATAATATATATCTACATTTCTGTTCACACCACATAACTTTGTCCCTTCAAGAACAATAAGGAATTGATATGTTGTTCGTTTTTTAATACTAGGGTAAATGTAGTATGTTATGCATTTAATATATAGATAGATAGAAAACGTGACTTTATGGGTTATTATATGCAATTTATATGGATGTTTTGGAATCTGGAAACATGGAGACATAAACGAGGCTAAATTTATAAGATTAGATCCGTGATTTCTTTTGGAACATGACGTGGTTCGAACGCTGAAAGTTCATTGGTTATATTTCATAATATGTGAAATAAGTATTCTGCTTACAAGTTATGTAGAGATATATGCTTTCTATACATTGATTCTTATTGCTATAGACCCTTTCATTTAAGACCGTATTCAAGTTGTCGCCCTTGGATGACGTCATTGGGGGATACGGTGGATAATGCCGATACGATTAAGTACAATAATAGAGGGATATACATATCTAAATCCTTTCTCTTTTAAGATTGGCAGATTGAAATTGCCAAAATTTTGTGTAATTGTATAAGATATTACATAAAAAGGATGGTGAAATGTATAAATATGTTTACTATATAATATGGTTAACGATTTGAAAATATACTTTTTACACCAATGGATATTCAATGTAAAATTATGTCAAAATTTATTAATCTTTTCAACATTTATATCATATTTTATTTTATTATAGGGATTTTATTTAGAAATACCTGGTCCAACAATGATTGACATCAAAATAATATTCAGTGCAACATACGAGGAGGTTTCTAGATCAGTCAGTGGGCGTGGTGCTGGCGGGTTCTTCGGCGCTTTGATTGGTGGAATTTTAGTTGACAAATGTAGCAACTCCCTAGATTTATTAATAGCCCTATCAGAGACAATAGCAGGATTGGCTATAATACTTGTACCGTACACGTACACGATTAACACACTCTGGTTCCATTATTTTGCCCTTGGCGTCTGTAGTGGTGTCATCGGAATTGGTGAGTGATGTTTCTGTAATTAGTCCTGAACTAAGATGTATAAATCGCAAACATTTATAATTTCTTTGAGCACTCGTGAAATAATCATATACCACTATCATCGAGGTAAATGCTGAAATATCTCAAACTTACAAATAATAGCTTATAAGTAAAAAGCAACATATAATCCTATAACAAATATTTAGCACTCTAATTGGAACTTTATTTTCTTATAATGTTAATAGCTTTATATCATGGGTCTATATACTACATATATATGCATATGTCTATAAACTAAACGGAGAACATATTAAGAAGAAAGAATAAATAAAGATGTTAACTACAATGTAAGCTATTCACAAGGACCTTTGATTGTCTTACTGTCAAAATATATTATTTGATTTTCATTACAGCTGGTATCAGGTCTGTGATTATGCTTTGGCCAGAAAAGACGGCGGTTTCTCTTCAGTTACTTCATGTTGGGTATGGAATCGGTGCATTACTGGTCCCCCTAGTTGTAAATCCATTTCTTGCTGTCGTACAATTTCCAAAACAGAAAAGCCCCAACAAGAATAAGGAAGATTTCAAGGTTATTAAAGGAACACGAGTCCATATTGCATATATTGCTATAGGAATTGCAACAATGTTACTGTCTCTGGCATTTTACCGTTTTCATTTTAACCGTTACTTTTGCAAAGGATATAAAAGAGTTAAAACTTCATCAGAGTCTTCATCCAAGAAATTAACATTCAAAGAAATGATTAATCCTGCTACATATTCTAATGGACAGTTTTGTTATGGTGTTTATATCCTCACTGTTTTGTTTCTATATTATTTTACGCTGGTAGGTGGTATGGAGATGTTTGGACAGTTTGTTCGATCTTTTAGTGTCACAGTTTTTAGGTTTTCAAAGTCAGAAGCGTCCTATCTAAATATGACCTTTTGGCTGGGACTTACGATTGGAAGACTTGTGGGATCAGTGCTTTCTAGTTATATGCCAATAAGAAAGCTGTTTTTATTTCAAGTTTTTATGCACCTTATGTCATCTTCAATGTTAAATATGTACGCGTCTCTACGTCCTTCACTGTTATGGTATTGTACAGCGTTTGAAGGATTCCTGATATCACCTCTATATCCAAGCGGTATTGCATATGGAAATACTCTAATCGAAATAAGCGGAATGTGCTTAATGATTATACAGTTTGCTGGAAGTTTTGGAGACTTGAGTTTTATATGGATCGGTGGAAAACTGTACGATTTGTATGGACCTAAATCAGTTTTGTATATTCTACAGTTAGTAGGAATAGTTTTAATTTTCAGTGCCGGATTCCTTAGAATCGGGGAGCGTTGTAAAAAAGTAAAGGAAATGGAATTAGTCGTAAACACATAAAACATTTGAACATCATTTTATTTTCAATTTTATCTAAGTATGAATATTATATACCAAATACAAATAGTTCAAAAATATATGTTAAACAAGTGATTATCCCCAAATTAAAGCCAGCAAATGCACTAAATGATAACTGTGTAGGAAATATGTAACGAACAGAAAGTATCAAAGATATTCACTTTAAACTTTTAGTACTTGTTCTCTATCACATTTGAAATGCATTTGTAGGGGAGGGGGAGGGGTACCTGAAAGATCTACTTATTTCTTTCATGTAGCGGAGTGTTATTTAGCATGTTTAGAGCTGAATTTAATCTGATTGTGAGCAAACCTTTAACCTAATTCAATATATATATTAGTGATGAGAATCTATAGGCCTATTGTATGCGACAGATGGACACTATAAACAATTATTGATCTGGTTGTCTACCTTACAAGTAAAACTTTCATATGATGTGTATTATCAAATTACATGTAATGTTTTATAACGTGGGAATTGTCATGTACTTAAATGATTTTAGAAACACGCCCGGCAAACTGTCGCTCCACTTCAAAATTGTGGTGTACGGAAAAACGAGCGAACGACATTTCCGAGACCCAGCGGAAGGCCGATTTAAATCGCTAATTGTAAGTAATGTTTATGTTTTTGTCTTGTAATTCATTTAAGTTGTATTTTTTTTTTCGAAAAAAAAACACGAAATATGGGATTGTTCAAGGCTTCCAATGATCTTAGCTGTTACAAAAAGAAAATTAAATTAAACCTGCCTGACGAAATGAACGACGATTTGTTGAATATCGAACTTTCAAAAATGGAAACGCTCTACACTTCGGATTTCTTGAAACAGTGTTTTAGACAAATATCAACACGTAACAAGAACAAGTCTTTTGTGCAAAATAAACTTCTCCTGCTTGATTTCTTAAATTCTTATATGGATTTCTTTCGGAAAGTAGTGGAGCCAAAGGGCAAGAGATGGAGCGAAAGGTCGGTTGTTGCATGAGCGCAAGGCGACATTTAGTTGGCTTAAAGAGCGTTGTTTATTATTTTCTAAAAAAAATCTTTCAAAGTTAAACTAGGCGTACTATAATATGAAGCCCGAGAAATATGATAATATAATAATTTACTTATACTATAACTAGGTCTATTAATTATTGATAATTGTAGTTCGTACACCGACTGCTGCCTTTTTATTTCGTTTGTTTTGTTCATAGATACTCTGTGAATAAACAAACAGAATTTTACAGATACTTCTTTTATCCGAAAACAAGATTTGTACTGAAAATATGCATTGCTTGATGATAAAAGTAAAATGTTCTATTTACACTTTGAAGGGATAATAATGAACTAAACAACAATGCAAAACAAGAGAGAATAAGTATCTTGAAACATAACTGAAACACCAGTTATATCCTTTAGAACGACTGACACTTTGTGAACCATTTTCATAGAGATTCCCCACTTTACAAAAGTCTTTCAATTTTATAAAAACGTGGCTTATTTGTGTTAAACCTGAACGTGTACGTTAGAGCAAATGATTGCAGAAAGTCATAGTAAAATGAACTCTTCTTAGTTGAATGGTAGTAGTGATCCATTTAATGTGTCCCGTGTATTTCATAATTTTGTCTCTGTTCTGCAGTTTGAATATCTAACTTTTCGAGAAACATAACATTTTGGCAAGAACAATCGCCTTACACGCACCTCCTCGGAAAAATTTGTTCGCGGTAGAACCGAAAATATTCGACTTTGTCGAATTTACACGGACACGTGTTTTTAAATTTACATAGCCATGTCAAAAATCATGATATTATGCCACGCATATGATTCAATATTGAGACCACATCCGAGTTTGGAACATAAATATGGAATCTGCGGCAGCCATAGGTGACACCCTGCCGATAATATTTATTACTCAAAGGTTATAAGGATATCACGCTTTTTAGTTGTTTTAAAAGGCACTCAACACTTGATCATGTCTATTTTACATTCCATAGCTTTATATAAAATTTTAGAGACTATACTCTCCTCCTCATACGCCAGATTAATATCGCCTTGCGCTCAACATCAAACCTTTGGCTCCATCTCTTGCCCTTGGGCTCCACTGCTTTCAAAAAGTATCGATATACAGATTTTAGAAATCCACCAGAAGTCTATATGTTGCACGAAGGACAAGTTCTTATTACGGGTTGATATTTTTCTAATACACTTTTAAAAAATCCGAAAGGTAGAGAGAGCATTTAATGCCTTTGAAGTTCAGTATTCTACAAATTCACTTTGTCAGGGAAAAAAGATTCTACCGGGGTATATATAATTTTCTTTTTGTAACAGCTTAGATCATTAGAAGCCTACGGAACTACATTTTTCGTTTTTCTAAAAAATATAACTTAAATGAACTAGAAGTCAAAAACATAAACAACACTTACAATTAGCGGTTTACTCTATTACGGAAATGCAGTTCGCTGTTTTTCCGTACATCGGAGCGACAGAAAGATTTGTAACGACTTGCCTTTAATACATGTAGACATAACGATGTTATCTACATAGATGTAGGTCACGGTCCACGGTGTATAACGTGTAGTTTTATTCGGCTTTATTATGTACATTAATAGTTATGTGTTTTTCTTTGTAAGAGGAAATAATGGATAAAAATAAGAAGAGGTACCATATTTCTACATTAAATTATTACTTTTATCAGATGAGTTAACGTATTTATGTTTGTAGCAACAGTTAAATTTTATATGAATCATTTATTTTCCTTAAGTTTAAGAGCAGAGCAATGTATACATTAGATACGAATATTCCATGCAGGATCAATCGATCGTAATCATTATATATATATATATATATATATATATATATATATATATATATATATATATATATATATATATATATATATATATATATATATATATATATATATATATATATATATATAAGCAAAAACGCTATTTAAATTTGCCGTAGCTTTCGGCCTTGCGGCCTTTCTTCAGCAGCATTTATTTCACATACAAATATATCAAACAAAACAATGGAAGTGACGTAACGTCAATGAACGACGCCCGCCGTGGCGTTGGTTGCCGTCTGCCGCGTTATTCTTTTGTATTAATCCATACGGTCTATAGGTTCTTAATTTATTTTTCCACAAATTTCTATTGTTTTTCTGTATTGGTCATTCCCGTATAGCTTTTTCCAGCCCCATTATCGAAAAATCTTTAACTGTGTGGTGGTCATTTCGGTGTAAAAATGCGCCGCTAACGGATCGTTGTACTTGGTTCGTATTCTGGATCAAATTTAGAAGGTGTCTTTTGTACAACGTGTATCCCCTGTTTCTCCAACATAAATATAACGTTCGCAACGCTTACAATAAACTGCCATACACAACATTCGTAGATTTGCACGTGATCTGATTTCGAACCTTATACGAAGGCCCTGTTCACACCAATGAATGTGTCTGCTTCAATAACGTACGGACAAAATCGCACACTTTTTGGATCTGCAATGGGAAGCACAGGAATTCGGCTTGTTGAAAAAATAGTTTATTGTGTTTTCTTATGAACGAGAATGTCTTGTAGATTATTATCTCTTCTAAATGCCGCATTGGTGGATTTCGGGAATATTTCCTTCATTCTATCTGAGGTGTGTAATTCAGGTAGGTGTTTTCGTACTATTTGGTCCTACATTCGGGAGCGCTCTGGAAAAATGTCAGTTACCAAGGGGAATTCTTTCAGTGGTTTTCTTTTATCTTCATTTATACTGTAATAGGTCACTTTTTTCTTACTATCTACTTTATTTAATTCTGTTTCAATTTATGTCGGCTTCATAGCCTCGGGTTTCTGTAACTGAGTTTTAAATTATTTTCTCTATGTTTTTGTAAGTCGATTCATTAGTACATATTCGCTTTAGCACGGAGGGCAAAGTCCATTTATGGTAATTGATTTTTTTTTGTCGATTCCGGATGAGACGAATTTTTATGCAAGTACCAGGTTGTTTTATCTGTGGGTTTAGTGTATAGGTCCTGTTATTAAAATGCCCATTCTGAATCTTCGTCATTAAACGGTCGAGAAACTCAAGCTTTTCAGTGAATATCTTAAATTCTAATTTTTTATTCTGTGGATGAAGGTTTTCCCCCAAGAGCCATGGAATGTTTTTAACGACTCGTGATACCGTGAGTCCAAAAAGCGGCCCCAAACGTCAGTTCAACATACCGGAAATAACTCAAGCGGAAGTTTATCTGTTATCGTCAATCAGCTGTGATTCCCATGATCCAAGATATTGTAGATGCGTAGATGCGTAATTCATCCCTAATCGTGGGCCAATCGCTGTTCCTTCTGTCTGCGTAAATTTTCTTCCATCAAATGAATAGTGTTATTTTCAAGGACAGTGTCCATCATATTAAGAAACATCTTCTGTGGGTATGTTAGGGTTGGCACGTTGATTTAATGCCACGTGCAAACCGCATCTCGTGCCTCTGCCCGTGGGACACTTGGGTACAGAGCTTTCACGTCTAAACAGAAAAAGAATTGTTCCTACCGGAAGTGGTTGTTTAATATTCTCTAATTTTCTTAAGAAATCAGTATGTGTCTTTAATATATGAAGGGAAGTGATGTCACATGGGCGCGTAGCTCATTTCTTACTATTTCTGCCATTTTCTCCGTAGGATTGATTTTCCCCATTTACTATTGTTCTCAATGGCACCCCTGTTTTTATGCAGTTTCGGAATACCTTTGCAGTTTACCCGATGTACCACCAGACGACGTCAAATATCCTTTTTTTAAATCTTTTGAAATTGATCCTTTCTTGCACATATCAATCTGCCATCTTTTTCACTTTGGTTTTCAATAGTTTTCGTTCTATCTTCGTTCACCTCCCATATAAGGGGCATTGTCAGTCATCTCGGCCTGAAGTTTACCTCTGTAGTCCTCTGTATCCATAACAACGATACCAGACCCCCTTATCCGCCGGACGTATAACTAAAGTATCATTATTTAAGAGCTCTTTTCATTGCTTTGAGTCTTCAGTTCTTGTAATATTTTGTGCCAACCCTACAATACCAACAGAAAGATGTTCTTAATATGAATGGACACTGTCCTTGAAATAACACTATTTCATTTGATGGAAAGAAAATTTACGCAGACAGAGAAGAAACAGCGATTGGCTCACGAATTAGGGGGATGAATTACGGCATCTACTAATATCTTGGATCATGGGAATCCACAGCTGATGACGATAACAGATAAACTTCCGCTTGAAGTATTTCCGGTATGTTGATGACGTTTGGGGCCTTTGGACTCACGGTATCGAGTCGTTAAAACATTCCAATGAGCTTGGGAATCAAAACCTTCATCCAAGAAAAAAATTAGAATTAAGATATTCAGCTTGAAAAGCTTGAGTTTCTCGACGTAATGACGAAGATTCAGAATGGCTATTTTAATAACAGACCTATACCACTAAACCCACAGATAAACACCTGTTACTTGCATAAAAAATTCGTCTCATCCGGAAATCGACAAAAAAATTCAATAACCATATGGACTTGCCTCCGTGCCTAAGCGGAATAGTACTAAAAGAATCGACTTACAAACAACATAGAGAAAATATTAAAACTCAGTTACAGAAACGAGGCTATGAAGATCGACATATTGAAACAGAATGTTAAATAAAGTAGATAGTAAGAAAAGAAGGTGACCTATTACAGTATAATGAAGATTAAAGAAAACATGAAAGAATCCCCTTTTGTACTGACATTTTCCAGAGCGCTCCCGAAATAATGTAGGACAAATCAAGTACGAAAAAACACCTACCTGGGAATTACACCCTCAGATAGAATGAAGGAAATATTCCCGAATCCACCAATTGCGGCATTTTAGAAAGATAATAAATCTAACAAGACATTCTCGTTTCATAAGAAACACAATAAACTATTTTTCAAACAGCCGAATTCCTGTGCTCCTTGCAGATCCAAAAAGTGTGCGATTTGTCCGTAAGTTATTGAAGCAGAACACATTCATTTTGGTGTGAACGGGGCTCGTATAAGGTTCGAAATCAGATCCATAGACGTGCAAATCTACGATGGTTGTTGTAATGCAGTTTATTGTAAGGCGTTGCGAGTAAACGTTATATTTTATGTTGGGAGAAACAGGGGGAACGGTTGTACCCAAAAGACACCTTCATAAAATTTATTTAAACCAAGTACAACGATCCAGGCGGCGCATTTTTTACACGAATGACCACACAAGTTAAAGATTTTTCGATAATGGGGCTGGAAAAGCTATACGGGAATGACCAATACAGAAAAACAATAGAAAATTTGTGGAAAAATAAATTTAAGAACCTATAGACCTCCGTATGGAGTTAATACAAAAGAATAAACGCGGCAGACGGCAACGCAACGCCACGGCGGGCGTCGTTCATTGACGTACGTCACTTCCATTGTTTTGTTTTGATATATTTGTATGTGAAATAAATGCTGCTGAAGAAGCCGCAAGGCGAAAAGCTACGGCAAATTTAAATAGCGTTTTTGCTTATATACGGCAAGTTAGAGCTTATACTTTATAATATATATAATAAATATATATATATATATATATATATATATATATATATATATATATATATATATATATTATATATATATATATATATATATATTATAGAATAGCGGGAAAAAAAGAATGAAGTGATGCCTTTTCCAGTTTACATTGCAAAATTGTTTTATTAACAAAACTGTTAAAAAATAATTGAACGAGAAATATCAACCGGTTTCACCCGTTAAAGGGATCTTCAAGATAATGACGTTAATAACGTCGCTTGGTAACGACGTCAAAACAATGTAAAGGGATGTTACTCTTATAACGTTTTAAAGGGACATAATAATAAGCTATAATATTATTTTTATATATATATCAAAGTTATTTTGAATTCAATTCTGGTTAAAGAACGTTTATTAAAAACAGTTTCTTTCATTCTTCTTTGAATGTGTCTGGTTCTCGCATTTTATAGATTGGCATTATATTAAACTTTGGGAGTGATGTCTTTTGCGCAAATGGCAATGTGTCGACTGACTGGTAATAATGCATTGTCTGGAGTTTCGTATATGTTTGGTTGTGAATGTTACTCGATTTCTTAAATTTGAAGTTTCTCCAATATAATCTTTGGAACAACCATTACATTTCAATGCATAAATTACATTTCTAATTTATGCATTGAAATGTAATGGTTGTTCCAAAGATTATATTGGAGAAACTTCAAATTTAAGAAATCGAGTAACATTACACAACCAACATATACGAAATCCAGACAATGCATTATTACCAGTCAGTCGACACATTGCCATTTGCGCAAAAGACATCACTCCAAAGTTTAATATAATGCCAATCCTATAAAATGCGAGAACCAGACACATTCAAAAGAAGAATGAAAGAAACTGTTTTAAATAAACGTTCTTAAACCAGAATTGAATTCAAAATACTTTGATATATATATAACAATAATATTATAGCTTATTATTATGTCCCTTTTAAAAACGTTATAGAGAGTAACGTCCTTTTACACTGTTTTGACGTCGTTACCAAGCGACGTTATTAACGTCATTATCTTGAAGATCCCTTTAACGGGTTTGAAACCGGTTGATATTTCTCTTCAAATATTTATTACAGTTTTGTTAATAACAATTGCAATGTAAACTGGAAAAGGCATCACTTCATTCTTTTTTTTACCCGCTATTTTTACCGTATTGTTTTAAACTTTACATTTTGGATATATATATATATATATATATATATAATATATATATATATATATATATATATATATATATATATATATATATATATATATATATATATATATATATATATATATATAATATAGTAATACATACATGTATATATTATAAACAGAGAGATGTTATAATTAAAGGGTCAACTCGTCCGTTTAGGCACAATTGTAGCTTTCGCTATCGAGTACTGATCCCGGACATGTCACTAGGCATGCCCTTAAAGGTTTGAAGCACAGAGCGGTAATAATTTACCTCTGTGCAATTTCCACAATAGATTTTTTCCAACCGAAAAAAGTAAGTTTATTCACAGCGGCTAATGAGACATAGATCAAATATACATACAGTAGTCTGTGACAATGGCGAATGAAACAGCCCTGATGTTAAGCAAAGATTCTGCCTTTCAAGCCGTCACTAGGGGCTCACGCAAACTAGTATTATTCCTTGCCGACGCTACCTAATTTGTAAGGCCACTCCCTTCGGAATCAGTCAAGACATGAGCAGGTGATCAGCAGTCTTCATCATCCGCCGTCTCGAGTTCTTTAAATCTTCTGTCCATGTCTTGTGTCTCTCAACATCATAGAAGTACCGAGAGGAAGAGTGTGTGTAAATTAAACAAGTGCTTATCTAAATGCATAATGTGAGCCATTAATGATGAAATCAGACAGCTGCTTCACTGGTGTGACAAAGCAACAAATCTAAATTACTTCTATGTGATTTATGTTTAGGTTCTCTTTTCCTTTTGATCAATGCTTCACAATTGATTTAAAACTTAAATATATTGAATATGATGTGGAAAGGGAGTTATGAAAATGGTTTGTTGTTAAAGTACTTTTTGAGAAATAAAGATCAAAACAACAGATTTGTTAGACTAAAATTTTAAACTTCATCATCATATAGATGATACCGCAGTTTGACAAATTCATATGTTAGTTCAATTATATGAAATGTAAAAAAGAAAATAGTCATTAGATAAATTGCTACATTTTAAGCTGGATTTCATATGCTGGTAGTAAATTAGTGATATTATTATGACTTAAATGTATCCGTATTATTAGAAATGTTTATCTGATTCACTTTTTTGCAATTTTACTTTAGAATGTTGTCAGCTACTTAAAAGGATGAGATACTGGTGATAAAGCATTGGGAGAAACTTTTCAAAATGGTGTCTGAGTCGGTGTGTAAAGTGTTTATGTTATTTCTCGTGTGGGTATCTATGGTAAGTAAAGATTTGACTGTATTCATCTATATGGTCATATAACTTTGTGGTTAACATGTTTAGTCAATAAACTACAAAAGAAAACAACAGCAACATGCAGGATGGCTTTTGTAAAATTATTTCTCTATATAATGTTTAAAACTTATTGATCTTAAATTATTTCTCTAAATTTAGTCACAATTTTTTTATAAGCGAACTATATAGAATTTATTTGAGAAAATTATGTCAAAACTATTTTCAGGGACTGTACCAAGAAATCCCTGGACCTACATTGGTTGACATCAAACTTATTTTCAATGCTACGTATGAAGAGGTATCTCGTTCTGTAAGTGGGCGTGGCGCTGGTGGATTTTGTGGTGCTTTCATTGGTGGATTTCTTGTAGAGAGATTTGGCCACTCCTTAGACCTATTAATAGCCGTATCCGAGACGCTTGCTGCGTTGGTTGTAATGTTTATTCCATATTCACACAACGTGAATACCATATGGTTCCATTATTTCTGTATGGGGATATGTGGTGTTACTATAAATATTGGTAATTAATGTTTACTTTTCTGAAAACGATACTCTATTTTAAATTTCAAATTATCATTGATTATAAATTTGTTTAGCACATACTAGTGCCACTTGAAACGGTATTTCAGTGTGTATTTTTAACGTTATGTCACTTGTGCTAAGACGCACTAAATATTAGCGTTTCGAAGTGGTTCATTTTTACCGCAAACAGTTCCTATTTTGGATATGTGATATATAGAATATTATATTCGTGTAGCTTCGTTACTAAATTTATTGAATTCGTTGAGAAAGAATATTATGTAATATGATTTTATTCAACTCGTTCAAAAAAATTTAGTATTGAACTCTGAAATATATCGCAGATATTAACTTTTACTACAATATTGCATTTTAAACCTTCGGAAGGGCGTCGGTATGCGTTATAACAAATGATATAATAAATGAGGTGATAAAGAGTTAAAAATCAACGGGGAAGGTGAACATTCTACCGAAATACCAATTTGCCTGTAAATTCGGTTCGGTCTCATGGAAATGTACAATTTGTATGTCGTAAGACTGCCTTTGCGATAATTTTTGATATTGGCATCTAATGGTCATAACTTCTTACTTTCTTATTGTATACCTGAGTGTTGAAAATTGTGTTAATATTAAGCCTTTTAAGCATGCTTTTATTGCTGCATGTACAATGATTTCTAGTAGGTCAGTTTGTTTCAAATATGCTGGATATACGTATTTTCATTTTTATTTCAGCTGGTGTCCGATCCGTTATTAATTTGTTTCCAGAAAAGACTGCTGTGTGTCTTCAGTTACTGCACGTGGGGTATGGTGTTGGTGCTCTTTTGGTTCCAGTTTTAGTTAATCCATTTTTAGCTGTTATAAAAACACCAGCATTAAAATCCGGGAACCATGCCGATTTGGAATCGATTCAAGTGATAAGGGAAACCCATGTTCATAGTGCATTTGTAGGAATTGGGTTAGGGACACTTTTGTTATCAACTGTATTCTATCGCTATCAGTGCAATAAAGATAGAAGTACCATCTATAAACAAGTACTGACAGATAACGAAGAAACTGGAAATATAAACGTTTCCACTGACAAAATAAAACATATTGATCGTAACTCAGATGAAAAACTAAGTTACAAAATATGTATTTTAATTGTACTGTTTGTTTATTACGTTATAATGGTTGGAGGCGAGGAAGTATTCGGTCAGTTCGTTAGGACATTTTCTTTAGACGTATTCAATTTTACAAAAACTCAAGCTTCTTTTTTAAACATGACTTTTTGGCTTGGATTGACATTAGGTCGGTTATTTGGGTCATTAATGGCAAATTACATTCATATAAGAAGATTATTTATGATTCAAGTTGTTTTCCATGCATTTTCAACCACACTTTTATATTTATATGCATCAAGTAGTTCATCAATGTTATGGTTTAGTACAGTAACTGAAGGATTTTTGATATCACCATTATATCCAAGTGGCATAGCTTATGGTAACACTCTTCTAGATCTAAGTGGTTTTTGTTTAATGGTTATTCAGTTAGCTAGTAGTTTAGGTGATTTAAGCTTTATTTGGTTGGCTGGAAAGATGTACGATTCTTATGGTCCAACATCTCTTTTGTTTGGTCTACAAATTATAGGAATTTCTTTGGTATTTTGTATTTTAGTATTTAAAGTTTCTGAACGCTTTAAGAAAAAGGAAGTAATCCATATTTCTGTAAAAAGTTGATATTTATATGTAGTTTTTCAATCTGATATTTTTATGTGTGTTTCATTTCTTATATAAAATGTTTAATCTATTTAATATTTGTTTGCTTGTTACAATATGCAAAATATAGTTACATATTAACTTCAATAAGTTTCAAACGTTTCAAATGTTATACAAAATATACGTGTTAATATTGGGATAACTATCAAAAAGTAGTTCAAATATATACTGTAATGTAATATCGAATTATACAATTTTACACCGACAATTGTCACCATCTCGTCCAATAAAAAGTAAATCGATGGGCATGCCATGGTTGGCATACATGTAGATATCATTTTCGTATGATATTAGGAATAATACATATTATTGCTTCAGTTATACAAAAAACGTTTAGCTATATAATGAATATGTTTCTGATTGAACTGCATCGCTCACTGGCTTTAAATGTGACTACATGAGTAGAGTAAAGAATTATATCAAATATATGAGTCTAGAAACGATTAAAAACATCAAATAAAGTCAAATAATTCATACACACATTGAACATTCTTCCGCAAATGTCGTTTATCAACTACACAGAACTTAACAATAACACGTTGACTGCCCAAGTTCGCGAAGGTAAAACAAAGTTAATGAAATTAACATTTTCTATGAAGATCTAGCTAGAGTTACTTAGTAAGTGACTTACACTTACAGATGACCGAGACATGTCATGTATGAAGTTTCACGTGATTATCTTAAGTGTTAAGAGGAGGAAGTGGTACGCAAAATATTGTCGAAGCAGAAATATTTCTAAAGAGGTATGATTGAGTAACGTAATGCCAGCACATTGTAAGGTACATAAATCCTATATAACAAGTCTAAGCCGGCGCTAGGTGCTGTGGAAGATGTTACTTTTTATTATCGTACATGCGTAGATCCATGATGAAACAGTGTCTCCAATTTTGTCATTTAGATACCACATAAGCATTTGCAATAGACGACAGGTATAACTTGGAATAATCAGCATAACTAGTCGTCAATTCAGCACGCTTGAATAGTCATTCTATAGCTAAACCGACTGCCTTGTCCGTCCGCTTACACACCTTTTGCCACTATTAATTAAACAGGTTTATAGTGTGAAAGATATGACGGTCACTTGTGTGTGGAGGTTGTTGTTTGTTTGTTTTGTTGTTTTTTTCTTTTTGGTGGATGTGTTATTAGGGACAAGATAACAAGATTATTATGTATATGCTATCGTTTTGATGCTATGGAAATGGCATACAAGGAGACTCTAATATTTCACAAAAAGACTGCAATTTGTTTTTAAAATACGTAAATACGTACATGATTGTTAAAACATTTAAAATTGATATAAGATATTATAAAACTGAATCTTCAAACTCCAAATACAAGTAAAACATGCACGTCGCAACAGAACGACAATTAAATCACAAATACGACTGGTGATACATGTTGCAGTTCGTCATAGTGGCATGACGCTTAATCACTGACGCGGCGGCAAGAAAAGGATTTTTTATGATTGCTCGCAACGGCAAGAAATGGAAAGTTGCAAGCAAGGCGCAAAATGACAATATACATAATTGTAAATGTGTTTTGTCGTTAGTGAATATCGCTCTTCTTGTTGATATTTCCTTTAATAATTTACTTGTTTCACGGCGAAAGTGAAAGCAATGTTGCTGTTGTCGTCTAGCGGCATGGTAGCTGTAGTAGGGTACCTTAGCCAGACTAAGAGATTCCCGCTTGATTTCATTTAGCCCACTGCGGGTAATCTGATGTAGCTGCAAAATATATTGCTCCTATAAGGGACGCTAATATTGTTGCCGGTGCTACAGTGAAAAAAGTTATCTTGTCTACCGAATTGCTGACATCTTTCCATGACATGACTCGTTCTTGTCGTACACTTCCCTCTGAAAGGAATTCATCCTCAAGTGATTTGTCTCTTTTATTCGACGCTGAAGACAAACCATTGCCTGTCTCCAACTCCTTGGAATCAGATTTTGACGAATGATCCTCCTTTTTATTTTCATTTTTCGAACCATCCGGAATCACTGATCCTTTTCTTTCAAATTTTGACACAAAGAATACAAGATTTTGTTGGGTTTGTCCGATAGGTTGTCCCTCTGTCCGGTGATGATATAAGTTCAAGCTGTATATGTTTATAATATTAACAAGAAAGGCAATACACACTAAGATAGCTATATAGATACACGTGTATGGTAGAGGGTCCGATATTTTTGGAACTTCATCCATGATAGCCATCATAAAAACTACAATTGACAACATAATTGTAACGGCAAATCCAATTCGCTCTCCAGATTCACATGGTATAAGAAACACGAACAATCCAAGAAAGCAAACACAGTACAAAGGTATTATTACTGTAAGCAAGTAAAATGCGAATTGGCGCCGGACCTTCACAGTATAAATGATATCCCTACCAGCACTTACAAACTGATTTTTGTAGGATACAGTTATCGTTTCATATGTCCATTCACCCATATGAATAAAGTCTTGATCGTAAATTGGTTTTGATGGGAAAATGAAATTCATCTTTTCTTTTGTTCCAGGATAAGGAGGTATGAAATATATATGACATGCTTGTCTATCAAACGGCCAGTAAATCATTGTGAATGCACATAAGACATCAAAAGATCCCCCAAGTGCGACCTCAACATATCCATGGTTATTGACTAAAGCCATTTCCCATCCTTTTTCGACATATTCGTAGGGAACTCCATTACCTAGAATAAGAGGTGGAGTCCAAATATCTTCTGTCCGCAAATATAGAGTATCAATACCATCATAATCTGATTGTGACCATGTTAACTTATCATCTTTCCAGACTAAGTACAAGAGTGCTCTCATCTTCATCAATGAATTCACAGTATCTACTTCCGATATTGTCATTAAGGAAAACACAACTGTTACATTTAGCACGTGGGATTGGTTTGCCAAAGGTATAACGTCTTTATCATATTTTGAAAATAAATTCCTTTTAAGCGACGTCATGTTATCATAAGTTTGCGCATGTGTGCAAATCAAAGCTTGTATTAACACCATAAGATACATTAACGTTTTAGAAAAAATATCAAAATGCGGCATCTTGGTGTATGACAAGACTTTTCATAACATAATCCGGTACAAAAAAACTGTACTGTTTTGAAAACTTATATCATAACAATGATCACTTAATTCTAATGAATTGTTACTAAACGATGATTACCGACATCCTATTATATTGTCATGTCTGAGTTTTCAAAGTAAAATATTCACTATTGATTTACATTATCCTCATGTTTTCAATTAAATCATGTCTCTTGTTTGCTCAAGCTTTTACTTTATTAAACCACCACTATTAATTTGATCTGATTTATCAATATGTCTAAAAATGGAAGCGCTAAAAATCGAGAATCTAGACGCGGTTAGATCAATCGATAGCATTGAAAACCAAATGGAATGAGAGATGTTGTAAGGTGCGACACCTCCAACACCCTCTTCCTCAACATAATAAAGAATCATGTTTAAAGTCATTGTTTTGTATCTTACTATATTTCTCTTTCAAGATTATTCAAATCGGTTTCAAAAAGATTATTCAAATGGGTTCCAAAATTTCGAAAAAAATTATCCTAAAATACAAATAACATTGTTTTTTTCAATTGAAATTTTGTTGTTGTTATTGTCTGATTTTATTTTCCTGTCGATTATGAGTACATTAAAGCACTTATTTAAATATTCGATATCACTTCGGTCCCGCCCGTGAAATTTACGAGAATTAATATATAACGTATGAAAACAGAGAAAAACTGATTCCCTAAAGAACACCCAAAACGACAAAATTGAAAATGTTGCAAGACTAGTTTGAGTCTATATACATGGACGGTACTGGAAAGTGCAAGTCACCGTTCACGCCCTCCTGACACTGGCTTAAGGAGAATTCAACATTTAAACACGAAAATGGTGAAATTTTGAATGAATACTCTCAGATGTGTTCATACAGCGGTTATCATGTAACCTTCAATGTGACACTTTAGTCCCATCCATGAAAAGCGGCGTATGGTTCCCAAGTAAAAAAAGGCGTGTGTCATCCCTTAACGAAAGAAAGAAACAATGGGCGGAACTAAACAAAAGGGAATTTTGAGAGGGGATCAGAGGTTATGAAGTCTGGATATAATAGATAAGACGTCAATTAAAAGACAAATTTTAAAAGCGAGCCGCATATCTTTTGTCACACTAGCATAATGAGTAGAAGAAAAAGTTTATTTCGGTAACTTATACATTTACAGTATCTCTTTACATACAATAATTACAAATATAATAATTCTGTGGTCACATGACAAAAGCAAAGAAAGAAATTATAATAAGATCATAAAAAGTTTTAACTAATGACATTCTAGAAAATTTGTTTCAAACGGAGAACAGACAAAAAAAGAACATCATAACATCATTATCATTCATAGAAATAAAAGGTTCCAGAAAGAAAGAAAAACACCAAAACCAAAAAGACTTGAAAAATAACGTCGTCAAAAGTATAGTGTTACAAGTATCTTTTTAACGATAATATATTGAACTAATTAATATTACAAAATGTGTTATGAATTAACAATTGGTAGTAACAATTCTTGTCTCTTTCTATATATTTTCCTAAATTTACAAGTATAGCTTTATTATCTGATTGTAGTAACTCTACTAATTTATACAATAGGTGGCGCGATAGCTCAGTTGGTTAGACCACTGACTGTCACTCCTGAGGTTCCGGGTTCGATCCTGGGTAACACCCTTGGGATTTTTCAGAAACACTTTCAGTGTTTCCCACCTAACTAGAGGTTTACTGGTACGAAACCCAGGTAATCCTCGCATGTATCAGTGCTATACACTGGGCATGTAAAAAGAACCAAGGAATCTATTCAATAAGAGCTAGGGACTGGTTTCGGATTTCCTTGTATCTCATAGCTGTCTCTAGTGTCTGCTGAGGTAAGGACGCCTACTGAAATAAAGTGCTTGCACTTTCGTAGTTATTCCTTGACCGCCCGGTCTAAATATTTTCCTAAATTTACAAGTATAGCTTTATTATCTGATTGTAGTAACTCTAC